GCCCCCTCCTCCGCAGGGCGTGCGGCTATGTGAGCCATGAGCGCGACGTGGACTTTGTCACCGGAGCCACTGCCGCCATCGACAGGACCCCCAGTGGGTGCGGGCCTGGACGCAGAGCAGCGCACCGTGTTCGCCTTCGTGCTCTGCCTGCTCGTGGTGCTGGTGCTGCTGATGGTGCGCTGCGTGCGCATCTTGCTCGACCCCTACAGCCGCATGCCCGCCTCGTCCTGGACCGACCACAAGGAGGCGCTCGAGCGTGGGCAGTTTGACTACGCGTTGGTGTGAGGGGCTCGGCGTCCCGGGCCGGCCCTTAACTGTGCCTCCGAGGGTCACCAGGGCAGGGGCACCTCCTGGCCAGGACTGCGCTGAGGATCCTGGCCCGGAATCCCCAGCCCGGGGCCCGGGCGTTAAGAGAAGCCCCGCCCTCCCTTAACCCCGCCCACCTTTCCCCCTTGGCCTGGCCGGAGTCCCGCCTCGTGCCTTTATTTGCCCTGCCCCTTCTCCGCTGCACTCTGAATCCCAGGTGGGAAAAGGATTCCCGCACCGATCCCCGTCATTTCCAGCGTGTAAGTGGCTCTGCTATTGTCCTGCCTGTGGGCATGAGTGTCGTGTCCTTTCCTGAAAGTAGGGACACTCCTTGTCCTCCACACCTCTGTCTTCTGACCATCCTCAATTTCATCGTGATTGAGTGCTGAGCCCCTCCTTGAGCTCCGGCCCTAATGGCGCTCTTTCGGGCCCACGGGTTGGATGGTTGCTTCTAATAATATCCTGCGCGGCCTGCCCCGGAGAGGAACCCTTGACGACCCATTGTGGCTGTTGTGTCCAGGATGTGTGGAGCCTTCGGTGGAAGAGGAGTGCGGGGCAGGCTCATCCCCGCCCCAAACCTGGGCCCCAGTACAGGTCAGCGCGCCCTTCCTCATGCCACCCTCCGTCCCCATCGGCCCCCCTGCTTCCTCCCGCTGGCCCTGCTGCCACCCTACCCCACCTCTCATGCCTTTTCACTTCTCCCTGCCAGAGCGATGATGATGATGACAATAAATACTATGGAGCGCTGACTGTGTGGTAAGCAGCGTGTTTATTCAGGGCCTCCTTTTCCTAGCCTATTTGCTCTTCGGTATGGTGAGAATGAGCTGGGCTTTGTTCGCATCCCCATTCTACAGGTCAGGGGACTGAGGTCCAGGCACTTAAGAAGGACTTGCTGTTAGCTTCTTGCCTCGTGTTCAGCTGGGCTGGAAGTGGAACCCAGGTCTGGCTTTTGCATAATCTTAACCCAATTCTCTAGCTTCAGGGGGAGACATTTACTGTCTTGTCCCCCAGCACCAGGCACAGCTAAAATAAATACACACCTCTTTCCCTCGATCAGGGGAGATGCTGGGAGCTGTGGATAACTGGGATGGAGTACCCTCAGCCAACCTTGGGGACTATCCCCAGGAACCACACCTGCAGCCCCAAACCTTCTGGGCCTTGTCCTTCCTTCCCCCATCATCAAGTGTGCCTTGGAACCAGTGGGCCTGGCACTGTAGGCTATGGTCACTGAGTAGGCTGGCTGCGCTCCACTGCTGGCCCAGGAGATGTGTTGTGTGCCCCAGGGGAGCTGTGTGCAGTGTGTGGGGAGAAATGAGCGTTTCTATAAAAGGAAAGCTGTGTGCAGGCACAGGCTTGCCAGCAGACAACCTGCCCCCTCCCCGGCAGCTAGTCAGGCGTGGGAGAGGGAGCGCTGTGGGAGGACACCTGGTTACCCCAGACCGGCCCTACTCCATGCCTGCAGGGCAGGTGTAGTTGGTCCGTGGAAGCACAGCAACACCCCCAGGAATGTGGGATCTTGGGGATTGACCAGGACTTGATCCTACTCCTCCACTCAGCTTTGCTCCTCACTCTCCTCCTAAGGCCCCTCCAACTCTGCTTCTCTCCTCCTCTCCTAGGGTTTTCTGAAGCTCTAAGGCCACTTCTGGGGACTCACTCCCCTTCCTCTGGCCTCCTGCTGCTTAGGGCACCTCACCCCCAACTTAAGCCTCCCACAGCCCATGGCCTTGTGCCTCCAGGTTGGCATCAGTATTCTCTGCTGCCTTCTACCTTCCACATGTATGATGTGACATTGCCCTGCTCAAAACCTGTCTGACACCTGTCTCCCCATAAGCCCTACCCAACCACACCTGTCCAAGACCCACCTCCACCCAGTTGCCAAGGGGATCCTCATGGCCAAACTAAGGTCATGCCAGGCAGCAACTGGTGCTGGTGACTGCACCCTCCTCCCTGGTGTGGCCCCCAAAGTACACATGACCCCAGGCTCAGAGCCCCAATCCCATTGTTTAGTCATGGGGAAAAGAGCAGGACAGGTAGATGAGAACTTTATTAGAAGCCATAGGACACCCCAGGAAGAAATGAGGAGCCGGCAGTGGTGGGCATTGAATAGAGGGGAGTGAAGAGGGCTCAGGGAAGAAAATAATGAAAACCTGGACCAAAGAGGGCACGTGAGGAGGTCACAGTATGGGGAACCAGCTATGGCTCTGCTATCTGAGAACAAGGATTCTGGGCTTGGCAGGTCAGTTCCATCTGTCTGTCCAGGGGTTCAGGGTGCTTGTCTGTAGAGTCCTGCATCCCTATTCTCCATTAACCCCGTTGCCTGGCCATCCCCAGGGGACCCCTGCACAACTCTAGGTCTGTTTCTGAGATCCCTGACATGTAAAGCATCTAAAGACTAGACCACATCGAGTACCATGTCAGGGACCTTCTAAAATAATCCTCATGACAACCCAGTGATGGCTACAAAACACTAAGGGCCAGATTAGTTCGGGTGTTGCTACCACCTGCTGTGCCCCTCACCTTGTAGGGGTGGCTGCCTGGCCTAGGAGCTCCAGGGGCACCAGGAATGGGTTCAAGGGGCAGATCCCAGCTGCTTGCCAGGCTGATCTCGGTTCCCCTGGTGTGGCTTGCTCAGGGGCATGGGAGCTGGTCTGGCTGGGCTCCTCTGGCCCCTGGGAGCAAGCACTTCCATCCTCAGCCCCAGGTCCAGGGCTTCTACCAGAGGGACTGGGCTGTGGGGCCATCAGGTGAGCATATGTTTTAGTCATATGCTCAATCAAAGCTGTGCAGGGCAGGCGGGGCAGCTCCTCAGGAAGCGACAAGAGCAGGTCAAGGACCACAGCTGACTCTGGTGATAGATGGAAAGGGAAGGAGTAAGGGAAGTCAAGACCTGCCACCTAGGACCCCTGTCCCATACCCCCTGCCCTCCCCAACTCCTCTCACCAGCTGCTGAGAGCTCTGGGACATGACCACCCCGGGAGCAGCAGGACAGGTACTTGTAAATCTTCTCAAAGTCCATGGTGATGTCTCCCTTAACAGCAGGGCCATTTGGGGATTTGGCAGGCGTCTCAGAGGCGGGACCAGGGGCCTCTGGGGTGGTGTCCCCCTGCCCTCCAGTGATGTTCAGGATCAGTGACTTTCCACGGGCTTGTGTGGGCTTGGGGGGCTTGGAATGCAGGAGACTGACAGGTTCTGTGGCTGCGATGGTGAGCACCTGGCAGGTGGAGCCAGCAGAGAGGAAACAGGAAAGTCCCCCATTTCCCTCTGCCCTATGGGGCCTGGGCTGAGCACTCCACCTCCCCAGCTTCCCAAATCCTCCCCACAACTCTGAGGAATGCAACGGATAGAAGATGGCCTCCAAGACAGGACCACCACGAAAGATCAAGGTGTCTAGTGCCTGGTCAGGGGCACAGAACTGACAAAAGGGCCCAGGACCTAGGTCCTCTTGCATGCTAGACAAGTGCTCTGCCACTGAAACCACGTCCCCAGTCCCACCTTACTTGGGCTTATATGTACAACCTGTCTCCTGGGACAACCCTGATGGCCTGGGGGTCCAGCTGTACCTGGGAGAAAGCTGCTGTCAGGGCTTCCTCCAGTGGGCCTGTTATCTTCTCAACTAAATCCATCCATACCTGGGTGAAGTCCGAAGGCACATGGTCAGCAGGCGTCAGACAGCAAGGGTCTCCCAAGACCTGACCCTCTTGGGGGTCCCCGCTCCCACAGAGGCCAGCCCTGAGAAGCCTTGCCCTGCCCACCTGCCTCACCTCTATGGGGGCTGGGGGCTCCGCCTCTCTGCGTTTTGGGCCACCTGGATGCACCCTCTGAATGGCCTCCCGGACCACTCGGTCTTTCAGCTGCTGGAGGAAGGCCTGGATCTGAGGGGAAAAGAGCAAGCCGAATGGGCCTGTTGAGTTCAGGGATGCAGAGGAGAAACGAAGTCCACAGCCTTGCCTACTTCACACGCAGCCACAGTCCCTAGCCTGCGCGTGGCCCGGCCTCGGAACCGCGAGGCTCAGCGGGGGCTCCGGAAGAAGGCCCCAGAGTGGGAACAGCGAGGCAGTAAAGATGTAAGGGCCAGGCTTGTTCTGGTTCCTCCTGCAGCCCAGAGCTGCCCGGACGCTGAAACTGACCTCTTCATGTCCACTCCACCCCATTTCCTGACTGTTGCTTCCTCCTCATTCCCACTCCGTCTAACTGCGACTTTTGCCAGGTCTCCACCGTTTCTCACTCGGAGTTGGTCCCCATCTCCGGCTCTCCTCGCCCCGCCCCTCAGCCTCACGCCAGGTCCCAGCCTTAGGGGCGAGCTCGCCCATTCCCCCACGCAGCACGGCTCCTCCCCTCAGCTTCACGCCCCGCCCACCAAGGGCACCCACTGGGTCTCCAGCCTAGCCCCACCCCTCAGCCTCACGCCTCCACGCCCACACTTCCAGCAGGGGTGGACGCGACCCCGATCGCGGCAGCCTACCGCGGCCCCGCCCACTCCCTGGCCCCGCCCATACCCGTACTGGACTCACTTCAGCCTCGCTCCGGCCCCGCAGCTCCTGGGCCAGCTCGGCCGAGTCTGGCTCTGGTTGGTCCCGCCGCGCCTGCAGTAGTCGTAGGAGCTTCCGCTTCTCGCGGGGGCTCCAGGCCGCGGGGCCGGTCACCTCTCCCAGATAGCGTGCCGGGGCCGCTCGCCGCCGCTGCGGTGGCTTCATGCTACTGAGAGGCGCCGGCGCTCTAGGACCGCTTGCCCGGAGGGCGGGACTACGGAAGCCGCTGAGACCAGAAAGCCCCGCGTCGGGAAGGGCGCAGATGGGGGCGTGGCTTCACCTTGGCGAGCCGAAGGGAATCTCCTTTGGGAATGATAAGACTGGCACCAGAATTGAGGCGGGGGCGAGTCTGACCCACGTTCCGCGTTTTATGTCATTCATGAACTGGAGCCTACGCTTTGGATCGCGTGTCCTCTCTACATTCCTGAACTAACTTATAAAACTCCTACTTTGTGTGCTTTCCTTCCCGAAGATGGGTAGGCAGTTGTCAGGTCGTGGTCAAAAGCCTGTGGAGTTGGGTAGCCCTGGGAACCTTGAGCGAGTGGCTTAGGCTGCCGAGCCTCCGTTCTCTCCTCTCTAAGCCGGGGCTAATATTCCTACTTTTGTTTATGCGCAGGGGAGGGAGGAACTCAGAGAAGGAATTTAAGGAATTCTAGACTTGATGGATCCTCGGAGGAGGGTGGAGTCCAGCTCAGCCAGAAGACCCGAGCAGCGGCAGAAGGTCGAGGATGGAGCTAAGGCAGGATCCGGGCGATGCTAGTGGACAGCAGAGACGGTCCGGTTTGGGGGAGAGCGAAGGATTGCAGAGTGGAGGTGGGAGAAGGCGGAGCTTATGTTAAACTTAAGATGGCAGGGTTGAATGTTACTTTCTGTTTGGAACGGATCGCCCTTGACTCCCCAGCACACGTGTGTATGGGCATAGGATTCCGCCCCATCCCCTCCCCCGCAAATTCTAGTCTCAGGTACAAGCCCAAGCCTGTCCCCCGCGCCGTACGCACACACTGACCCCACCAGAACTCAAGCGGATCAGTCCAGAAGTTTATTTTGAGCTTCGATGGGAGCGGGGGTGGGAGGAAGAGAGGAGAGAAGCACAGGGATGGAGGCCCCAAAGTGCTGTGTCCAGAACTGCGGATCAGGTCCTGGAGAGCCTTCTCCTGAACCCATGGTTGGGTGCCCCTTGCAGGCAAGGCTCCATCGCTGGGGAGGAGTGGAGCAGGCTGAGCGAAGGTGGGGAAACTACGCACCCCCTTCCTAGCAGGCGTTGGCCTTATATCAGTTTGTGTGGCGGGGAGAGTGGAAACTGGGTCTGAATCCCAAATTCTCCTTGCCTAGTACCTGTCCAAGGCTTGAGGACCTTTCCATCCAGACCCCACAGTCCACCTCAGTGACCCCAGTCCATGAATTCCAGTCCCGGCTCCACCAAACATTATGACCTTTGGCAAGTTACTAGACCTCAGGGCCTCATTTTCTCTAGTGGGGATTATAATAGCCACCTGAAGGTTATTTGAAAGATTAATGTGTGTAAAACACTCAGAGCCATGCCTGCCGCTGGAGTTAGCGCTATGAAAGGTTCCTCCAGATCTCCCCCCACACACTTACCTGCCTCACTGGGGCCTCCGGGGCTGAGGGCCACTGGGCGAAGCTCTAGTTGGCTGGCTTGGGAGTGGAGGCGCTGGAAGAAGAGGCTCCTGAGCCAGGGGAAGAGCGCCCCCTGGGGGGAGCTTGGGGCCTAGCGGAGGCAGATCTAGAAGCCTGAGGCCTCCCAGGGCTGGACGTGGGGAATAGGCTGGGAGTACCTGAGTGTGCGCAGACGAGGCCCAGCCCGGCGGCCAGGGCGGCGCCCAGCACGAAGGCCGCCAACACCAGCGCCACCACCGGCGCGGGCTCCAGGGCCCCCGGGGCCGGCGCGGGCGGCTGGGGGAGCACGGCCCTGCCCGGGAGGCTCTTGTGCGGCCCTGTGGGAGAGTGCAGCGCTAAGCCGGGGCCCAGGACGCTGCTGTGCTGCCCTCCCCGGCCCCAGGGCACCCGGCGTGCTTACTGGGGGGCGGCCGCGGCACTGTGACCACGATAGGCTGCGTCAGCGTGTGCAGGTGGGGGCTGTCGGCGCCCAGGCTCTCGCCGCTGGCGCTGCCAACGCCCGCGCACGCCTCATCCTGGGGCAGACACTGGCGGGAGGGAGGGAAACGGACGTCAGGTCGGCGATCCCGGGTCTGGTCCTCAAGTCTCTCTGAAGACACCTAAGCACCCGGTGCGGAGTAATCCCAGCGACTACGGAGACTCAGCGGGGAGGACTGCAAGTTTGAGGCCAACCTCAGCAACTCCGCGAGGAGACCTTATCTCCAGATTTTAGGGCCGGGGCTGTCGCTGTTGTAAGGCACCCTTGGATTCAGTCCCCAGTAACCGCCCCTGGGGGGGGGGCGTAGCCCCTAAGCATCCAGTTCCCCACGGCAGCCAGGAGGCCACCTTTAGACCCTCTAGAAATCCAGCCCTTAGGGTTCCAGGCCCACGGGAGAAGATGTCAAGTGTCAGGCGCTCTCAGCACCGAACCTGGGAGCCCCACCTCAAGGGCCCACAGATTGGTCCCTTTGCAGGCTTCTGCATCCAGTCTGAATCCAGAGGGGATTCGGTGTCCATTTCATTTCCCCCACGAGGAATTCTAAAGGTCCCTGGGGGGGGGGGTCTCCGCATCTAGCGCACCCAGCCAGAGAGAGACCCCCGTTCCAAACCCCTGCCCTCACGGGATTCTTGCCCCAGATCCCAAGAGACCCTAACACCCAGATGCCCAAACCCCGAGGTGCTTCTCTCTGGCTGCCTGAGACGCTTGTGCTCCCAGAGGGTCTCCAGCGCCCAAATTTCCGGCTTTACTCTCCGCACCCGCAGTTTCGGCGGCGAGGTCAGAGCCTCCCGCGTCCGGCGGACTCCCTGGAGGCGGCGGCAGCGGCTCAGCTGGCAATGCAAGAACTGCACCGAGGCGTTGAACACTGGGCGCAGCCGGAAGCTGAAGCGTGCGGGGCGGGTCGCATCGGGGTGCGACGGTGGCGGGAAGGCTACCGAGGCGTCAGCAGGGCAGCCCCCGCTTATCAGCACCAGAGCAGGCCCGGAGGCCGGACGTGAGGACGGCGTTACTGAGCAGCGGTGCAGGGACAGGCCCCAGCGCGGGGAGGGTCGGGCCAGGGCCGCCTGAGGGACAGAGGTGCCATCAGGGTCGCCCGGTTCCCGCCTGTACCCACCTGCCCTGGGTGCTACCAGGGTCCGCACCTGCACGAACACGCGGCTATCTGCCGGGACCTCGAGCGGCCCCGCGCGGCGCGGGAAGGCGTCCTCGGCGTCAGACAGCTCCAGACTGAAAAGGGGCCTGCGCAGCCAGGGGCCAGGTCCCCCGGGGAACGGGGGCGCTGGCGGGAGCGGGAAAAGGGCAGCACAGAGGAGGAAGACGCATTCCCTTAAACCCTCCAGGAAAGTGTCCCGACCTCCTGCCCCCCACCCACTGCCTTCTTCCGAAAAGGGACCTGCGCGGCTCTGGTCCTGGATTTCCACAAGTTCTCTGACTGCGGGGAGTTACTAAGACAGCCCCCGTGAGCCCCGGAGCTTAACAGCCAGCCGTCCAGGCAGGGCGCAGGGCTGCGCGCCCTTGGGGAGACCTCTTTCTCTCCCTCTGCAGAGCGGGGCGGAGGAGGGACAAGGAGCGCCTGGTGGCGGAGGGTCAACTGGGTGAAGTCAGAGGTCTCTCCCTTCACCCAGGCAGCTCGTTAGAGATGTTGGTCGTATTGTTCCCCAAAAGGTCGGTGCAGTCGCCAACGGGAAAGTGGTGACAGGGGTGCCCTTCCCCGAGGCTTTTCGGGGCACATAGTCCAGCCAGACGGCCAGAGTCTGGGGTTTTGTTTGTCGCTTCTGGCTCTTTGCTCCCAGGCTGAGGGCAGCAGCAGCACAGGACAGCAGAAAGGGGTCTCTATCCTGTGACCCTGCACACACACAGTACCTTCACAACGTTCTGTGGGGTCCCTATCAAATACAATCTGCACACCCAAAAAGCAAAAAGCATTTGTAAAGAAGGTTCCACTCCCCCAGCCCTGATCCTCATAGTGGCTACCGGGGCTTGTGAAGATGGCCAGCCTGAACAGAGCCAGACCCCCATCGCCAGAAGCAGAGGTCTTGAAAAGTAACAACAGGGGAATGAGAGCATGACCCACCCAGGATGCCCGGAGCCTCTACATACCAATCGGCCCACTGGGCAAGGGGGAGGTCCCTGGGAGCAGAGCCAGCAGCAGGAGTCTGGTGCCCAGCATGCTGCACTGGTTGAGGTTGGAGCACTGCAGGGCCAGCAGCAGTGGCACCTACTTGGGCTGTTCTCAGGTCAGCAGGTGGGCAGGCAACCCTGGCCTTGGATGGGCTGCCACCCTGGCAAGCAGGGAGCGGGGGTGGAGGACTGAGGGTTGATACCAGAGCTGGTGTCCAAGGCCTGCAGGGATTAGGGGTTTCTCTCTTGCTTGGTTCCAGATCACTGGGGAGAAGGGGTACCTGTACCTCACAAAGGCCACTTGATACTCAGTCACTACAAATACCCCCTCCCAAGTTTGCCTCAGTTTCCCCTCAATGCAGGGGTCTCATCCACCTGAATGGCGCCCCTCCTCTGGCCCCTTCCCATCTCTCCTTGCCAGGTCTTACCAGCCCCATGACACGACAGACTCAGAAGAAAAGGGAAGGGTTTTATTCTCAAGCTTCTAAGGATTTACAAACGAGGGCATTTTATTTTAAAAAGGAACAGGGCAATACTGGTGGCCTGAGAAGGGGTTCTTGGGCCGGTGGGCTGGGCCAGGCCACCCCAGGACCCTGCCCACCCGACTGTCCTCTGGTCCAGAGGGATGGCTGGTGACGGAGGGGAAGTCTTGGGAGGCAGGAGCGACTCCCCGGAGCTCCCACTCAACACTGAAGGGAGGGCATGGGTGGACACACACAAAACAGAAAATAAAGTTAAATAAAAACAAACCCAGGCAGCCCAGCCTCAGGCCTGTGCTGGCTGTGAGACCAGCCAAGGGCCCTTCCAGCTGCCCAGCTGCCCGAAAAGGCAGGGGCCAGGCCTATTGACCCCTGCCCCCATCCCCTCACAAAGGAGACGAAGGTGCCTTCCCTGGGGGGCAGAGAGAAGGTGACTTCTATTTCGTTTTAAACATGCGGCATGTGTGAATATAATAGTGTAATGAGTCAACAGACAGGTCAGAGGCCCGGCTGCCTAGGCCTATGCTGCTTCAGCTGTGCACAGCCAGGTTCCTCACCTTTGGTGTTGGTTGGTTTATGTTTGTGATTTAATTTTTTTTTCTTTTTTGTTTGTTTTCTTGTCCACTTGATTTGCATGCATCACCAACAAAAAGGAAACACACCCATCCTGCTCTGGCTGCTGCGGTGGGCTGGGGGCAGGGCACGCTGGCCCAGTCCTTCCCCATCCCAGGCCTCAAGGTGGCCTGGGGGCTGGCCAGCTCCAGCGGGCAAGCTGAGGGTTGCTCAGGGGCTTGACACTCCCACACCCTGGCCTGCTCTCCCCTGACACTCCAGCCAAGCCTATCCCTGTCCCTGTCACATCCTCAAACCTCCACATCCGCTCCCTCTGCCCTCAATCCTGACTTCCTCCTGCCCTCCCCCAGCTCCCTGGCCCCACTCCTGCCTTCCAGCCACCTCCCTGATGCCCGCTGCTCCCTACTACACCCTTCACCACCTTCCCTGAAGGCCATCCTGCATGGCCGATGCCCCTTGGGCTTCCTCCACTGCCTAAGCTCTCAAGTTACCCCCAAGCTGCGGCCAGCCTCCAGCCTCAAGGGTGGAGGAACCCCCAGAGCCCGTATTTGGCCTCTTTGGGCCTGGGACCCACAAGGAGCAGTAGCCCAGGCCCCTTTGGCTCAGCCCCCAGTCCCAGCCCCCCCAGTGCCAGAGAGCAGTTGGAGGCCCCAGCACAAGCAGCTAAACATGACTTTGGTAAAAGTTTCTGAAGGTACCGACACACCCCATGAGGACACACTCCTCATCCCCCTCCCCCCACACCCCACCAAGTACAATAAAATACAATAAACTCCAAAAAGGACCCCCTGAGATCAAAGAGAGAGAGAGAGAGAGAAAGAGAAAAGAGAGAGAGAAACCAGTCCTGGTCCGGCTGCAGTCACAATGACCACTCCGCCATCCTGGGGTGAGGACTCAAGGAGACCTAGGTAGACCCAGAGCTCCCACAGGGGGGTGGGGTGCCCGAGCCCAGGCTTGAGCCAGGAGAGAACAGGGGACTAGAAGGAACTGGGGAAAGCCAGACAGGGACAGAGGGGTAGAGAGGAACAGGGCAGAGAGACATGGAGAGCAAGCACATGGGGGGGAGAGGGCAGGTGCTGGAAGTGTGGGGTGCAGATGTGGGAGCTCTCTCCTGGCCCCTGGGGGCTGCCCAGCCCAGAGGTTTCGGCTGAATAAATAGTGAGTCTGCTGGCGGCCTGCTGTCTTCCATTCACAGTGTCTGTCACCGGACGCACATAGCCGGCTGACCCCGGGCGGGGAGGGCTGGGGACCAGTAGGCCCATCTGTCCACGGCTGGTGGGCAGGGAGTCAGGGGTGATGGGTGTCCCCTACTTTCTGTCCTCAGCCCTCAGTGGCCGTCCAGAACCCAGGTTTCCCCTGGCGGGCAGCTGGGTGGCCAGGTGGGGAAGGGGGGCCTATAGCCATGCCCCTGGCCCCTGTGGGGCTGGCAGCCACCGTGTGGCTACCTGAAGAAGGGCAGGTGGTGTTGGCTCAGGACTCCACTAGTCCGCGGTGACTCTGTCTTCGCCATGACATCCTTGAACCAGGATGCCACATCTACCTCGAGAGTCTCATAGCGCTTGATGAAGTTGTGTTCCTGTGGACCCGAGGGGCGGGGCTTAGGATGAGGGGTCTTTCCTCCAAGCCTCGGCTTAGAGTGGGGGTTGGGTTCCCAAATGGCAGGGCAGGGCAGGGCCCCCGTACTTACAAGTAGCTTATTATACTTTGGTCTCTTCCTGTGATCTTTAGTAAGGCTGGAGGAAGAGGAGGAAGGGGAGGGAGGTGAGAGTCTGATGGGGCAGGCTGGGCTGCCTCCCCGTGTGAGCCCTCTCTGGTGAGCCAGGGGTCTTCCAGATCTGTTCATGGCTGGGACCTGCCAAGCTGTGTATCCCTGAAGTCTCCCAGCCAGGGCATATTGTAAGGCCTGGCCTGGGACCTAGAATTAGAATGGGAGGTCCTACTAGAGAGTTGGGTGGGCTCCCAGGAGACTGGTGCATGATTTCCTGAAGACTTTACTCTCCTTGCTAAGGTAGAGTGTTTAGGGCTGCTGGCCCCGAAGCAGCACCATTCATTCACAATATCCTGTGGCAAAGCCCACTGACCACCAATTACCCACTGGGCCAGGTATCAACAGGTCCCAACCCAGCTCATGGTTCTGTACCAGCTTCAACTCCTGACACAGCCCCTGGTTGTAACTGGCCTGAAGCTGCCAAAGTACCATCCCTGGGTGGCCTCTCCCTCCTCTTCCTACGCCAGCCTTCTCTAGCAGCCCTGAGCAATGGGCCACACCTGGCTTCCTGAGGCCTCCCAGAACAGAAGGGCAGGGTAAGTAGGGATGCTCACCAGTCTTTGACGAAGGACTGAAAGTCCCCCGAGAAGCCCATGTGACCCGGCAGGAGTGGGGGCTCTTCCTGTAGGACTTTGGTGAGGACCTCAAAGTCCGTCTTGCAATTCTTGTAGGGGAACTGTCCGGTTGCCAGCTCCACCTGATAGGGAGACAGGCAGGGCTGGACTGGCGGGGAAGGAGATCCTGCCCTCCTTTGCTTCCTTACTCCCAGCCTGAGGGTGGAGGCAGGGTCCCAGCTCACCAATGAGATGCCCAGGCTCCACACATCTGCTCGGATGTCATAGTCAGGCTTGGTGGGGTCCGGGGGGTCAATGCGCTCAGGCTACCAGGAGGGAGAAAAGGATGTACCTTCAGGATAGGGGCTAGTGTCTCAGACCCCATTCCACCTTCCCAGCTCCACAGGCTCCCAACTCACCGCCATGTAGGCAGCACAGCCGGCACTCCGTGTTTTGGCCTTGGAATCCACCAGGCGGCCGCTGATGCCGAAGTCACAGAGCTTAATCTGGCCCCGCTCATCCAGCAGGATGTTTGAGGGCTTGACATCGCGGTGGATCACACCATGCTTCTCCTTCAGGTAGAACAGTGCCTTTACGATCTGCAGCATGGACAGCAGAAGACTCCTGTGAAGGGGGGACATGGCCTGGGGCCGTCAACCCAGTCACATGAGCCCTGGCCTGCAGCTCACCGCCACTGTCATCTTGCCCAGGATCCGCTCAGGTATGGGGCCCTGCATCCGTTTCTTAAGCTTCTCAGCACATGTGCCCATAAGCTCCATGGCGATGAAGACATCTGTCTGCAGACGGAGGGGTGGCACATGTGGCTTGGGGTGACTGTGCCTTCCTGTCCACCCCAGTCATGCTCTGATCCCCAGGGAAGAGGACCCTGTGGGGGCAAAGGGCACCCTGAGGCTTTCCCATGGGCTGGGCCAGTCAAGAACCTGCTCACATTGGTGATGAAGGTGCCGAAGCACTGCACAATGTAGGGGCAGTCGTGGCTCTTGAGCACCACGTCCAGGTCCATAAGGATGCGCTTGTTCTCTTCCTTGTTTCCTGATCGTCGCATTTGCTGCAAGAAGGGATGGCCAGGAGGGAACCTTAGCACCAGGGACACAGAGAATGAGACAGAAGTCCAAAAGGGAAGGACTGCACTCACCTTGACAGCAATAATGTGGCCTGTCTTCCGGAAACGCATCTTCCACACCTGGCCGCAGGTGCCACTGCCCATCTCGCCCAGGTTCTCTAGGTCATTGATCTCTGCCTGATAGCGCTGGCAGGTGGGAGAGGGAACAAGGCTGGAGGGTCCCCAGGGCTTGTCCTCCCACCTCCATCCCCTGGCCCAGCCGTATCCTACCCTCCTCCACCCCCTGCCCTCCTCCACCCAGATGCTGAGCAAGGGAGGTACCTGGCCCCCAATGGTCAGGTAGCCCGTCTGCTTCATGATCTCCTGCAGCTTCTGGTCAATCTCGATGCTGGGGACAGGGAGCAGGAGTTGGTGAAGGGGTTCCTAACCAACCTGAAGCAACCCAAGCCCACACACCAGTGTTCCCCAGACTTCACCACCCTCTCACCGGGGCTGGCACAGCAACACTTCCCATGCTGCCCTGCTGAATGGGCCCTGACCCCCTGCCAGCCTGCTCTGACAGCTCACCTCTCCATGCTGCGTGGTGTGAACAAGGTTGACGGGAGCCCCAGCATGTGGCGGGGTCGGGCAGGGGGCGTGGGGTGCTGCGGGGAGCTCTCTGAGGACGGTGAGCGGCTGCCCCCATCGTTGGCCAGCGGGAGCTGCAGGGCTGGGGGGTTGAGAACCAGAAGCAGGGAGGGGGTCAGCACCCAGCTGGTCTCAGCTCTAGGCCTGACATTCTGGGGATGGGTAGGGACCCTCATCTTCCCCTCCCTCGTACCCTTCAGCCAGGCTGACACAGCCACCTGCCCTGCTGGCTGGGGCCATCCTTAGGGTGCCTTCTCCTGGCCCCTGTCCTAGAAGGATGGGGTAGGCTGGTGGGAGAGGGTGGTCCCCAGAGGCTGGGAGTTTTTCCAAAATCTAT